GGAGCTCTCGTACAAGATTAAAGGTATTTTGACTCTAATATGTTCCATTTTAATGCTTATTTTGTTTAAAACTTGGGAGCTCTAATGATCCTTTCTATTTTTTAAACCTCAGAGTTACCGAGGGTCCGGTGGGTTCTCCCTGATTCGTACCTTGATGTGAAAAACAAAGACTATGGAGGTAAAACATGATTGCATCACATTAAATCATGATATCATAGAACGAAAGATTTCAGATATGGGTTTTCCAAAATTTATTGTGATTTGGATTCAGAAACATGAGATACTTCCTTTTTTTTCTTTTTGGCTTTAGCTTCTCAACGTTAATAAAATAGGTACATAGGAATTACTCCTGACTTTTTTAAGTTCTTATGTTAAGCTAGTGAAGTAGATGAAAATGTGAGGTTGTTTGTGGCTATCTAAAATTAAAGTGTTCCTTGCTCGCAGTTTTTTCCATAAATATTTCTAAATAAATGTTTGATCAGTTTTAGCTGTTATATGTCCCAGCATTTGTAAGATAGCAAAATATGTCAAGTGAAACTGATAGTTCACTTATTTATTTAGATGTCTGCATATAACTAGCTGTTGATTTTCTTTGATTCTGCATTTGGAGTGAAGTTTTTTTGTTATTGAGTTGTGTTTTGCTGATTTTTGGAACTACTATGCCTGTTTTTTGATATTTGGCTTTTCATTGTCCAGGGGAACCTTTTATTGATGGGAAAGCTGTTCCATATGATCCAAAGTACCATGAGGAATGGATAAGAAATAATAGTCGAGCAATGGAGAGAAACAGACGTAATGACAGGCCCCGTAATTTTGATCGATCAAGGAACTTTGAAAGAAGAAGGGAGAATATGCGAGCACATCAAGAGATGCCCCCTATGGCTAACCAGGGTATGCAGAACTCAGGACCCACAGCTCCTCCCAACATGGGTGGTATGCCTCCAAACAGCAATATGGGTGGTATGCCTCCAAACAGCAATATGGGTGGTATGCCTCCAAACAGCAATATGGGTGGTATGCCTCCAAACAGCCATATGGGTGGTATGCCTCCAAACAGCAATTTGGGTGGTATGCCTCCTAACAGCAATATGGGTGGTATGGCTCCTAACAGCATGGGTGGGATGCCCACGAACAACAATATAGGTGGTATGGCTCCGAACAACATGGGTGGGATGCCCCCGAACAACAATATGGGTGGTATGCCTCCGAACAACATGGGTGGGATGCCCCCGAACAACAATATGGGTGGTATGCCTCCGAACAACATGGGTGGGATGCCCCCGAACAACAATATGGGTGGCATGCCTCCCAATAACATGGGTGGGATGCCCCCAAACAACATGGGTCGAATGCCTCCCAACATGGGTGGGATGCCCCCAAACAACATGGGTGGGATGCCCCCAAACAACATGGGTGGAACTCCCCCCAACATGGGGCAACCATTTAATATGGGAGGGATGCCACCAAACAACATGGGAGGAATGCCTCGAGGACCAAATGTTGGATGGTCTGGAAATATGAACCCGAACCCAAACCCAAACCCAAACCCGAACCCAAACCCAAACCCGAACTTTCAGGCTGGTTATCAAAATCAAGGTGCAACACAGAACGCTCAAAACCCGAACAACTACAACTATGATCCAAACAGAGATGGGGGAAATTCTTATTAGGTGTGATTCTGGCAAAGGGAATCAGCAGAGGCTAGTAGGCATGTTGTAGATAAGTAAAGATAATATTTGTCTTGTTCCTAGTGCTAATGTTGAATGCTTTTTAACTTGTTATTTTTTTTGATACGTCCTTTGGCACTCTTGGTAAGAATGCAGAAAAGTACTTTGGATGTTATGTAGTGAATTGGTTTCTTTGTGCTGTGCATGCACTCTTGTTATTCTAATGACTGAATTCTGCAGGTCCTATACTTAGAAATTTTCATTGAAAATTCTGAGTGTTATAATGGGTCTCTTTGTAGGCTGAGTTCAATTCCTTGTTATTTTAATTGTTTTTTTGAGTAGTTGATATTGGACGGATGCATTAGCTGTTTTTTAGGGCTTGTTAAAACCCATTTGATCTTGGCAAAAATTTTATTATTTTATTTTTATGTATGAAAAATAAGTGAAATTAAATGCCTTTAATTTATTAGAAATAAAATTGTACTGACCTATTATTTGTAAATGAATCAGAACCTATTATAAATTATTGTAAAATAAAGTGAAAGACTAATATAAATGATCAAAGAATAAAAGTGTCCAAATTGCCATTCTAAAATTTTGAAAAATGTTCAAATTGTATTTTAATTTTTTTTTTTAAAAATCTAAATTAACTCTCATTCTTATCCTATTAAAAAAAATTAACATTATCAAATATTAATACAACGTGTAAAATGATATCATATTTTAATTCATGTGAAAGTCATATAAACGATACATGGTATTTATGAAAATCCATATAAAAATGTTGTACCTGTGTTGTCGATCCTCCACCATCGAAAAAAGGGTGGTCATGAGCTCTATCAACCAGAAAGTCTCATCCCCCCATTGTGAACGAAGCTCCATGTGAATTCACTCTCTTCCCAGTTCCTCCATCATCAGAGTATCATGAACTTAAAATTTATTAGAAATAAAAGCTTTATAGTTGTTTCTTATGGTAAAAAGTTAAAACACCAAGGCCATCAAATTGACCTTTACAATTGTTTTCTATATTTTATTACACAGTATCCAGAAATATTAGTTGGATTGTGAGAAATATTCAAAATTTTCATTCAGAAGAGTATTGACATAGTAGAATACCTGTCAGTTGAGATGAGAATCAGAGCCTAAATTCTGATCAATTTTAACTTTCTGAATTTCCCATTATACATTTCTAACAACTATCAGCCAGAGATTACAAATGTAAGCATAGCGCGCAGAATCTCTTTTGTTGTTTCTTTTAGCACAGACTTCTGAATTCTTTGCTCTGTCTTTGCAATAGATAAAATACTTTCTAAAAAACTTCAGTTTGTAACTCTCTCCCTTCCCAACGACCCTCCCTTCCCGTCTGCACCCTGCTGGCTCCTGCTTGATTGCTCAACAGTGATCCAACCATGGATTCTACTCTTCGGTTCTTCGCAGCTTGGATCTGCTCTGCAAGTGAAATACTTTTTCGCATTTTTTCTTTCTTTATGAGCTCTTCATCCAACTTTTCCCAAGCAGGGATGACTGAGATCTCCGCATTCCCTCTACTAGCAACTCGACCTTGCTGGGATCTCTGTCTATGAATCTAATCATCGTTACAACAACAAAATTAACGAGTGTTTAGAACAAGATAAACATGATATACTGATAATGACAGGATAAACAAATAATAGTTCTATCCTTGATTGCCCTGACATACCAACTCATGCCCAGTATAACAGACTATTAGGAGAATCATGAGACTAACAACACCCATTTCACCTTGTACCAGGGATCAAGTCAATAGCAAATAAACCACATAATTGATTTTTACTTCAATAACTTCTTGGAATGAACATGTTCCAGATAAAATTGCAAAGATCCATGTGTCTTCTTACCTTGGTTAATTTTTGTTTAAGTTTCAATTCTGGGGTAATTACTAACATTTCCTTGTCTTTCTTCGATTTTCTCATTCCCATCTTTATATCTCTTCTTGCTTTTGTTTTTTCTTCCCGCTCTTTCCTCTTTTCAGCAAGTCTTGCCATCTTATCAGCTTTTGCCAAAGCTGCTTTCTGTCCTCTTAGTTTTGCCATCTCTTTGGCTTTTAACTTCTCTGCAGCCAATTGAAGCTGGTGAATAGCTATTTCTTGTTTAATTTTTTCATAGCTATCCCAATGTAGTTCTTGTTGGTCACTCCCTCCTCTTTTAGCAGTTTCTGCTATGCTTTCCAACCATGACAAGAAGAACTTCTCCTTCAATCGTCTCCATTTCAGACGTTTGTCCCAAATTCGCCGAAGTGAAGATTTTATTTTTGCCTTGGTTTGTTCACTGCAAGACATTTATTATCAAAGTAAGAATGAGAAGCATTGCTGTTTCATGTTGGAATATTTGACACTACAATA